CAGGAAATATTATGGAGGAAGGGATTCTGAGGAGAGTGATGCCAGGGGTTCAGGCTAAGACAGCAGCTTTTGAGTACCGTCAGCCTTTCCCCACTGCCGCTCCACAAGCCTGCTTGCCAGACGAGGCCAGAGGCTGGGGATGGGCAGGAGGCTTCTCGGCCTGTTGCTCCCGAGTCGGCAGAGTTCCTGAGTCCTAGACCTGCCAGGCACCTGAAAATGTCTGTCCCCTTGAGTGTCGGTCCCTCCGAAAATCCCCGGGACTCCTGTGGGTGGTGAGGAGGGGACTGGTGTGTGTGAGGCTACTTGAGGGCGGTGGGTGCTGGGACTCTGGAGGGCCACGGAGGCCTGGTGTGCTCTGGTAAAGACCCCCTGTGTCTCTCCACTTTTGTCCCCTCTCCGACCCCAGGAGTGTGCAGCTCTCGCTGCAGAGCTCCACACCTGCAGGGAGCAGCTCGTGCAGAGAGAGGAGGAGATCGCCAACCTGAAGGCGGAGAGAAACAACACCAGGGTCAGTAGGCGCACCGCCAGTGTCTTTAAACACAGGACACCATTCACTCCCCTTGTCCACATGTCCCCGTGGAGTTGGCTGGGACCCATTGTTCTCAAACCTTGTTTGATCCGTGAGGAGGAGTGAGGCCATTTTAACACATTCGAGGGGACGGCTCCCTACCTGGGAACTGAATTGAAGGGATTCAGACTTGGTTTTGCATTTCGTGAACTTGAGGCCCGGAATTGAAGGTGTTCTTGAAACACGGTGTTCCTTTTGCCTCTCCCGCCAGCTGCTGGTGGAACATTTGGAGTTCCTTGTCTCCGGGCACGAGAGAGCTCTTCAAAAAAACAGTCATACGGCGACAGGCAAAGACTCCGGCCGGCGTGTCCAGTGAGGCGGAGGTGCTCAAGGTCCTCAACTGCATATTGGAGAAGGACAAAACCGAGGCTGAAACGGTGTGCCTAGCCATGGCGGTTCTCAATTTGTCCACATGCTGTGTGTTCTAGGCACACTTTG